GGGGGGAATGGGGGAAAAACGGGGAATTTGGGAAAAATGGGGGGAAAATGGGGAAAAATGGGGGGAAATGGGGCAAAAAATGGGGAATTTTGGAAAAATGGGGGGAAAAAGGGGGGAAAAGGGGGGAAAAAACCGGGAATTTGGGAAAAATGGGGGAAAATGGGAAAAAAAGGGGGAAAAAATGAAAAAAAATGGGGGAAAATTGGGAAAAATGGGGCAAAAAACGGGGAATTTGGGAAAAATGGGGGGAAATGGGGAAAAATGGGGAAAAAGGAGGCAAAAATGGGGAAAAAGGGGGGAAAAATGGGGAATTTGGGAAAAATGGGGGGGAATGGGGGAAAAACGGGGAATTTGGGAAAAATGGGAGGGAAAATGGGGAAAAATGGGGGGAAATGGGGCAAAAAATGGGGAATTTGGGAAAAATGGGGGGAAAAAGGGGGGAAAAGGGGGGAAAAAAACGGGAATTTGGAAAAAATGGGGGGGAAAATGGGGAAAAATGGGGAATTTGGGAAAAATGGGGGGAAAATGGGAAAAAAAGGGGGAAAAAATGAAAAAAAATGGGGGAAAATTGGGAAAAATGGGGCAAAAAACGGGGAATTTGGGAAAAATGGGGGGAAATGGGGAAAAATGGGGAAAAATGAAAAAAAAGGTGGGAAAATGGGGAAAAAAAAGGGGAAAAAAGGGGGAAAAAATGAAAAAAAAGGGGGAAAAATGGGAAATGGGGAAAACATGGGGAAAAATAGGGGGAAAAATGAAAAAAATGGAGAAAAAATGAAAAAAAGGTGGAAAAATGGGGGAAAATGGGAAAAAAGGGGAAAAAATGAAAAAAATTGGGGAAAATGGGGAAAAAAAGGGGAATTTGGGAAAAATGGGGGGAAAATGAAAAAAAATTGGGAAAAAATGGGGGAATTTGGGAAAAATGGGGGGGAAATGGGGAAAATGGGGGGAAAATGGGGAAAAATAGGGGAAAAATAAAAAAAATGGGGAAAAAATGAAAAAAGGAGAAAAAGTAAAAAAAAGGGGGAAAAATGGGGGGAAAATGGGAAAAAAAGGGGGAAAAAATGAAAAAAAAAGGGAAAAAATGGGGAAAAAGGGAAAAAAAGAGAGAAAAAATGAAAATTTTTCCATGGATTTTCTCCTCGTTTTTTGCTCCCAGTCCATCCCAGTCCATCCCAGTCCCTCCCAGTCCATCCCAGTCCATCCCAGTCCATCCCAGTTTATCCCAGTCCATCCCAGTCCATCCCATCCATCCTTTACCCCAAAATTCAGATTTTTCCCCATTTTTTCTCATATTTTCCCCATTTCTTTTCATATTTTCCCCATTTTTTTCCCGATATTTTCTCCTGGTTTTTTGCTCCCAGTCCATCCCAGTCCATCCCAGTCCATCCCAGTATTCCCAAATCCCCATTTCCCACCAATTTCACCCCAAAAAATCCCATTTTCTCCATATTTTTCCCCATTTTTCCCCATTTTTCGGGGGATTTTCTCCCGGTTTTTTTCTCCCAGTCCATCCCAGTCCCTCCCAGTCCATCCCAGTCCATCCCAGTATCCCCAAATCCCAGTTTTCCCATCAATTCCCATCAATTTCTCTCCCAAAATTCAGATTTTTCCCCATTTTTTTCATATTTTCCCCATTTTTTCTCCATTTTTCTCCCAGTTTTTTGCTCCCAGTCCATCCCAGTCCATCCCAGTCCATCCCAGTCCATCCCAGTCCATCCCAGTATCCCCAAATCCCCATTTTCCCATCAATTTTGCCCCAAAATTCAGATTTTTCCCCATTTTTTCTCATATTTTCCCCATTTCTTTTCATATTTTCCCCATTTTTTTCCCGATATTTTCTCCTGGTTTTTTGCTCCCAGTCCATCCCAGTCCATCCCAGTCCATCCCAGTATTCCCAAATCCCCATTTCCCACCAATTTCACCCCAAAAAATCCCATTTTCTCCATATTTTTCCCCATTTTTCCCCATTTTTCGGGGGATTTTCTCCCGGTTTTTTTCTCCCAGTCCATCCCAGTCCCTCCCAGTCCATCCCAGTCCATCCCAGTATCCCCAAATCCCAGTTTTCCCATCAATTCCCATCAATTTCTCTCCCAAAATTCAGATTTTTCCCCATTTTTTTCATATTTTCCCCATTTTTTCTCCATTTTTCTCCCAGTTTTTTGCTCCCAGTCCATCCCAGTCCATCCCAGTCCATCCCAGTCCATCCCAGTCCATCCCAGTATCCCCAAATCCCTGTTTTTCCATCAATTCCCATCAATTTCACCCCAAAAAATCCCTTTTTTTCCTCCAAAATCCACATTTTTTTCCATATTTTCCCCATTTTTCCATGGATTTCCTCCCGGTTTTTTGCTCCCAGTCCATCCCAGTCCCTCCCAGTCCATCCCAGTCCATCCCAGTCCATCCCAGTATCCCCAAATCCCCATTTCCCCATCAATTTTGCCCCAAAATTCAGACTTTTTCCCATTTTTTTTTCATATTTTCCCCATTTTTCCATGGATTTTCTCCTGGTTTTTTGCTCCCAGTCCATCCCAGTCCATCCCAGTCCCTCCCAGTCCCTCCCAGTTTATCCCAGTTCATCCCAATATTCCCAGTTCCCCATTTCCCACCAATTCCACCTCCAAAATCCACATTCTTTTCCATATTTTCCCCATTTTTTTCCCGTTTTTCTCCC